TAAGATCTGAACAACATCAACATCTCAATGTGGATAGCACTCCTGATGCAAAGAAGGAGTATGAGAAATGGGAGCGTTCAAATCGCATGAGTCTTATGATCATTAAGCGCGGCGTTCCGAAAGCCTTCAGGGATATAGAATCCGAAGGGATTACTAATATCAAAGATTTTCTTGCCGAAATTGAGAAACGTTTTGCGAAAAACGATAAGGTAGAAACAAGCACACTTTTAGCTCGCTTGATTTCAATGAAGTATAAGGGCAAAGGAAATATCAGGGAGTACATTATAGAATTGTCTCATATTGCTTCAAAACTTAAGATACTTAAACTCGATCTCTGTGATGAGTTATTAGTGTATCTGGTTTTGTTGTCTCTTCCTGCATAGTTCAGTCAGTTCAAGGTCAGTTATAACTGCCAAAAGGAGAAATGGACTCTAAATAAGCTTATTTCATACTGTGTGCAAGAAGAAGACACGTTGAAGCAAGATAAGACAGAAAGTGCTCATTTGGCTTATGCATCTAAGGATAAGGGCAAAAAAAAAAAGAATGATAATGAAGCTGCTAAGGGTCCAGTTCAGAAAAAACAACATAAGGATAATCAGGGTTGTTTTTTCTGTAACAAGCCTGGACACGTAAATAAGGATTGTATCAAATATCACTCCTGGCGTGCTAATAAGGGTACGTTCCTTACTTTGGTCTGTTCTGAGTTTAATTTAGCTTCAGTACCTATAAACACTTGGTGGTTGGACTCTGATGCTACTACTCGCATAAGTGTTTCTATGCAGGGTTGCCTGAGCTACCGAAAGCCAAGTGATATTAAAAGACACATCTTTGTGGATGGCGGTCAATCGGTAGATGTGAAAGCAATTGGGCACTTCAGGTTGCTACTAGGAACTGGTTCATATTTGGATTTAAAAGAGATTTTTGTAGTACCATCTTTTAGACAAAATTTGATTTCAGTTTCTGTATTGGACAAATCGGGTTATTCTTATTCATTTGGAAATAATCAATTTAGTTTATCTTTTAATTCAAATATTGTGGGAACTGGTTACTTGAGTATTTATGACAACCTATATTTGCTCGATACAATTGCTTCTTATAATGAATCCTTGCATGTGGAATCACGTGGTACTAAGCGTAAATTAAATAAGGAAAATTCGGCGACATTATGACATAAGCGCTTGGGTCATATCTCAAAAGGTAGAGTTGAGCGTCTTATGTCTAACGGCATTTTGGATTCCCTCGACTTTTCAGATTTCAACGTATGTGTTGTATGTATCAAGGGAAAACAGACCAAATTTAAGATATTAGGCGCCAAAAGATCTTCAGACGTCTTAGAATTGATACATACAGATATTTGTGGACCATTCCTTATGGTATCTTGGAATGGTCAATAATATTTTATATCATTCATAGACGATTACTCACGTTATGGGTACCTATATCTCATTCATGAGAAATCTGAGTCTCTGGATATGTTCAAAGCCTATAAAGCTGAAGTTGAGAATCAACTCAACAAAAGAATTAAAACCGTCAGATCTGATTGTGGTGATGAGTACTACGGCAGATATGATAGTTCAGGTGAACAACGTCCAGGACCATTTGCTAGATACCTAAAGAAATACGGTATAGTCCTACAGTACACAATGTCGGATTCACCTAGCATGAATGGTGTAGCTGAAAGACGAAACAGAACTCTTAAGGATATGGTAAGAAGTATGATTGCTCATTCTTCTTTAACAGAGTCACTCTGGGGAGAAGCAACTCTTAAGGATATGGTAAGAAGTATGATTGCTCATTCTTCTTTAACAGAGTCACTCTGGGGAGAAGCACTAAAGACAACAGCTTACATTCTGAATAGAGTACCAAGTAAAGTAGTTGCTAAAATACCTTATGAGCTTTGGACTGGTCGAAAGCCCAGTTTAAAGCACTTATATATTTAGGGATGTCCAGCTAAGACAAGGCCTTATAGGCCAAATAAAAAGAAATTAGACTCCAAAACAGTTAGCAGCTACTTTATTGGGTACTCTGAACGCTCTAGGGGCTATAAGTTTTATGATCCCACACTCAGAAATATTTTTGAGATGGGAACAATAACATTCTTTGGGGATGTTGAGTTTGGGGGAGAAATAAGGTTAGAGACATTGCTTTTGAGGAGGAATTGGCTTCAGATCCAATGCATACAGTTACTTTTGATAATATTCAGGTTACTATACATGTTGTTGCTCAAGAAGTAAATCTGGAACCTCAAGATGACTATGTTGAACAACTCCCTGTTCCAGAAGAACATACTCAACAACCTCAAGAACCAGTGCCATTAAGGAGATCCACGAGAGAAAGAAGAAATATTATTTCGGATGATTATATTGTATTTCTCTAAGAACATGAGGAAAGTAATGGAATGTTGAAAGATGATCCAATCAACTTCTCTCAGGCCATGAAAAGTTCTAACTCTCAATAGTGGATTGATGCCATGAATAAAGAGTACAAGTCTATGTAAGACAATAAGGTTTGGGAACTTGTCTCATTGCTAGAAGGTGCAAAATCAATTGGTTGTAAATGGATATTTAAAACCAAGCGGGATGCAAATGGTAATGTGGAGAGGTATAATGAACGTCTTGTAGCTAAACGCTTTACTCAAAAGGAAGGCATTGATTATACAGAGACTTTCTCTCCGGTTTCATCGAAAGACATCATGGCACTTGTTACTCATTATGATCTTGAGTTATATCAGATGGATGTTAAGACTGTATTTCTTAAGGGCGACATTAATGAGATGATTTATATGGTGCAACCAGAAAACTTTGTGTCAGGAGACCCAAAGAATATGGTTTGCAAATTAAGAAAATCCATCTATGAACTCAAGCAAGCTCCTCGTCAATGGTATTACAAGTTTCAATAAATAATTATCTCGTTCGGTTTTGAGATGAACATTGTTGATGACTGTGTATATCACAAGTTTAGTGAGAGTAAGTATACTTTTCTGGTTCTGTATGTCGATGACATATTGCTTGCCACTAATGATATAGGCATGTTGTACGAAACCAATATTGCTTGCCACTAATGATATAGGCATGTTGTACGAAACCAAGAGATTTCTATCAAAGAATTTTAAGATGAAAGATCTTGGGGACGCCTCTTTTTCTATCAAAGAATTTTAAGATGAAAGATCTTGGGGACGCCTCTTTTATATTAGGAATCCAAATACATCGAAATCGTTCTCGGGGTATTCTTAGATTATCACAAAAGAGCTATATCGATAAAGTACTTAAAAGGTTTGACATGCAAGACTACAAACCAGGAGACACCCCTGTGGCTAAAGGAGACAAGTTTAATCTCAATCAGTGCCCTAAAGGCAACCTTAAAATTTAGGAAATGCAGAATATTCCTTATGCTTAGCTGTAGGAAGTCTAATGTATGCTCAGGTATGTACGCGTCCGGATATTGCGTACATTATTGGGATGTTAGGCAGATACTTAAGCAACCCTGATATGGATCATTGGATAGCAGTCAAAAGGGTTATGAGGTATCTTCAGAAAACAAAATATTATATGCTCACATACAGAAAATCAGAACTGCTGGAGGTCATTGAGTACTTTGATTCTGATTTTGCTGGATGTCAAGATAGCAGAAAGTCTACATCAGGATATATTTATATGTTAGCAGGAGGAGCTATATCATGGAAAAATATCAAACAGACACTTGTAGCTTCCTCCACTATGACAGCAGAATTTGTAGCTTGCTATGAGCCATCCAATCAGGGAATATGGTTGTGAAATTTTGTCACTGGACTGCACATTTTGGAAAATATGAAAAGACCACTAAGGTTATATTGTGACAATAAATCTACATTAATGTATTCTAATAACAACAAGAGCTCAACTAAGTCAAAATATATTAACATTAAGTTCCTGATTATAAAAGAAAGGGTACAGAGTGGACAGATATCCATAGAGCATATTGGGACAAATTCCATGATAGCAGATCCTCTTACTAAGGGATTACCACTCAAGGTCTTTCATAAGCACACTGCTCATATGAGTGTGGTGTTATTCGAGGATATAGTGATTTAGTGGGAGTTTGTAATTTTTGGTGCTTTGTGTTGGTTGTATTGTCTGATCAGAATAAAGTATTCAGTTAAAACACTCTGTTACATTATGTTTGGTTTTGACCTCACTAAAGTAGGACCAGTTAAAAATAGACATGTACTGATCACATTGCATGTAATTTTCATGCTGTACATCCATGATTGATCTATGTCGTTTGATTGTATTGGTATATGTGACCATTGATGGGTCGAGTCACGATAAATGTGACGAAAGCCGCTTTGATCCTATATTGATATAGTCAATGAATGAGATTGTTTGGAAATACCTTTTCAGTGATAGCAATTATGAGCTCATAAGGTTATACACAATTTAAGGAATCATATGGTGCCCAAGTGGAAGATTATTGGATTTAAATCTAATTAAATCTAATTGTGGACACATATGATTAATCAATGTGTATTGCTATCTTTAAGGATAACCCACTTAAAGTGATCAATCAATTTGGGTTAATAGGTATTTAAATAAATTATGGGGTTATATGTGCAGATACCCGGTTGTAATTATAATTTGATGAGAGGCCAAATTACAAATGTACAACACCTATATATATGGGGTTATGGTCCTTAATTTAGGGTTAGCCACTCTCATTCTTTTATCCTCATCTAAAGAGAGTCAAAAGGGAGAAACCCTAAGATTAGAAGATTATCAAAACCCTAACTCAGATTTAAGTTATGGATTCAGGTATAAACTTCCGCTCTTAATGTTTATTCTCTATGATTTAATCACGATTAAGTCTTACAGTTACCTCTTGGAATTGAATTTGCTCGATTTAGAAGATATTTGACGTTCCTTTTTCTCTCTGCTCTGACATTGTATATAACTTATATGTTGGTGAAAATAAAACACCTGAAAATTGAAGTTTAAAATAAGGGAATCGGCAAAAACATGCCTTGTCGATGTCAAGCATATCCATTGCGGCCATTTTGTCAGTTTGCTGCTTCCCTCATGAATCCATTGATTTACCTTCTACAACATGAAGCAACTGCACATCCAACAGAAAAATCAAAAGGTAAATATGGTAGTCTTCATCCAATGCTCCATAAAAAGCGTGAAACAAGGATTTGGATTTGTTTTTTTTTCCTTTTTTGGGGTGGAAAACTAAAGGAATTAAAATTTTAAATTTTGATTAATTAAAAGAAACTGTTATGAAAGGGAACTGCATAAAAATACCCTGAGCATTTGGAAATCATTGCTATTTAGATAAAAAGTTTAAACTATCCTTGTTTATATTTATCAGGGGATATACAAAGTACAGGAAGGAAAAATTTTCTAAAATATGTTACATGCAAAACACATTACAGCTTACACTACCTGATGTCAAACATCGTATCTAAAAAATTCATGGTGGTTTTCCCTCATAAGAAACATGTAAGAGCATCTTCAATGGTATATATACTCTATATTTAGAGGGTTTGAAGAGAATATTCTTTAAGATTCCTTAAATATAGAGGGTTTACAAAAGTTGTGCTCTAATAGTGCCCTCTATATTTATATTAATTAATCTATCATTTACAAACTAATGATGTAAATAAAATAATTAAAACTTAATATTTTTTTACAAAAATTATACCTTTAGAACCGTCTCGCCGAAACCTTTTAAATGAGATTAATATTGAATTTTTTTAGAGTCATTTTTAAATTAGTTTATTTTAATATAATAAATTAAAAATATTCATTAATAAAACAAATATGTGGGGATCTATATAACCCGCCCCAAAGGAACTACATTCAGAAATACAGAAATTACATTATATAAGTAAAATACGGTAATAACAATCTAAAATTCCGGTAGGTCATTTTCATAGCTATCGGTACCGTACTGATACCCAGACGGGCCCCAAGATTAAGACAATTCCTCGCTCGACATAGGAAACTCCAAGATCGGGAGGCTCACTTTGAACTTCAGAATGCACTCATTGAACATTTATGGCAGATGCATGGTAATGGAATAATATAATTTTTTTAAAGCTTGATGTATTTTAAATTCTCTGTACTTCAACATTTCATAATGATAAATTTGAAATTAATATGTAAGTATTAAATATTAGTCTCATTTTAAAGGTTTCGGCAAGATAATTTCAATGATATAATTTTTATTTAAAATAGACGAGTAAATTTAAAATTATATTAAGTTAAATAATCAGTTTAATTATAGTCAATGATACAATTAGTATTTATGAAAAGTTATAAATGAGATGGGAGGGCAAAACTGGAATCAAAATATACGAATAGTGTTTTAGATGGATCCCTCTATATGAGACCAAACCCTTCAGATATAGAGGGTTACTGTAGCACCCCTTGCTATAGGGTGCTACAGTTCCCCCATTGGAGCCAATGGTACATCATTTTTAGCGGAATGACGTACCATTGGAGATGCTCTAAGTATTGTGCGGGACGCCCCAAAATGCATGGTAGTTTTGTGAAATTTATACAAAAAGATACAGAAGAATGGAGAACTGAAAGTTCTCAAGCTACACTTACATGCTTTCTTTGATGGCCAATGCGCTTGAAGCAAGTTGTACATGGCTGCAACTGAAATGAGATTCTAAGGATTATCAAACTAAATAAAAGCTTCCACAAATACAAGCAATCTTGTAACATGGCTAGAAGCAGGGGGCAAATTCAATCTCTGAGCAAAAGCAGCTAGGGGATCCTCACCTCTTTCTTGTGTAAGAAAATTAGCAAAAGTAGAGCACAATGAAGAGCTAAGAGTCCCTTAGCTCCTTTTGCTTCCATTGTCACGTGGATATATGTGAGAGATTGAAATGCCTTTGATCAGCAAGAGATTTAATAGGTGAGAGATTGAAATGTTAGGTTTAAATCCAATATATGAGTCAATATATTAAATAAATATGTATTATGTGCTGTCAATTAATGTCGGCCCATTAAAGTGATCTAATGTGGGCTTTGGACTTTTAATATGCATTATTAAAGTATGTTTTTCCTATGTGTAGAGACAAAAATATAATTATTAATTTTATGATGGGCTAAATTGATATTTATGAATAACTGAAGAAGTCAGTTACTAAAAGGGCCGTGGTTCCCCAAATCCCTACGTACAGTTGCTTTCTGATATCTAATCTTCAGAAAGTTACAAAGAAAATAAATTAGTTTCTCTAAGGAGGGCATACATATAGATCTAGAAGATTTACATCTCTAAACTCAAGAATTGCATCTACTACATGGATTCAGGTATGGCTCCACATCTTCTTTATTCTCTCGGTAATTTGACATGAACAATATTGAGTTTGATTATGGTTTCATCTCTTAAAATAAAAGTTTTTATTAAACAATTGGTATCAGAGCAGTGCTCATGTTAAACTATAGAGAATCGATTTTAATTTTTAATGTGATTCTCTTATATGTTCTCAAATGTAACAATTCATCCTTTTGAATTGTTTAATTTGAAAACAAAATTTGGTTGTTCTTCCTTATGTATATTCGTCATGATTCTGGATTCAAAATGATTATTATGTTTTGAATTTTATGAATCCGATTTAGAAGAATTCATGTTTGATTGAAAACTAGGGTTTGATCATCATGTCATGATATGCATGAACTTTTGAGAAATTCGGATGTATTGATTTAGTTTTCATTATGTATTCATGATTATTTGAGTTTAAATTTGGATTAAAGGGTCATCAAAAGAAAGATTTCAGACTATAAATCGTTTTTTAAGAAAATTTGGGGCGCTGCAGCGCTGGGTTTTTAGTGCTGCAACGCCGATTAAGTTAAACCAAAAATATTTTGGTGGGGCTGATAGGGGTAAATAAAACCTAAGTTGCAAGTGCACAACTATCAAGTTATAATATAAAAGATGCCGATCCCTTAAGAAAGCTATTGTAGGAGATAATCAAAATTGGTTTCTAATTTGTGTGTTGGGTGGACAATTAAGAGCGATAATGTGGAGAGATGAAGAGAGTGAGTGTGATTATATGCAAATAAAACAAAACTAGATTAAGAGGGGAGAAAGAAAGATGAAGAAAATAAATTTAAAAATAATTAAAGAAGAATCAAGAATAAAAAAGAAAATCACAAGTAAAAGATGAAGAAAATAAGTAAAGAAATGAGTGATCTAGAATTGAATCCACTTGTCAATTTTACTTAGAATTTATGGGTTATTCTCTTTTTATCACATTTTACTTTAGATTTATTAAGCATAGACTATCAAACCACTTAAGGAAAGTATAACATATCAAATTATCATCTAAGTAAAACTAATATTTATGAAAAGAATAACAACTAGATATTAATTCTAGAATTCATAAGCATAACCTATCAAATTATTCAAGTAAACATAGATTACTAAATTCTTCTTCTTAATCAAACATAATCCCATCTCAATCCTCTATCTTGACTCCCCAGAAAAAAAATAATTAATTAAAATAATCATCAAGAAGGAAATAGAAACCAACTATAATGGGTAAAAAGAGGAGAACAGTGCCATACCAGAATCATGCACTTTGATATCCGAGCCCAAATTGATAGAACCAGGATCGGAGTTTTATGCAAAAGTGAAAAAAAAAGGAAAATTACAGTTAATGGCAAAAAAAAAAAAAACTTTAAAAAAAATGCTGGCAGGGGTGCATAGTTCAATATTATCAAACAAACAATAACGTGATATGATGATGAGTCCGAGTCGTGAAAGGAGAGATGACAGAGAGAGCAGTGAGCACGCAACAGCAACAGCATTCCTTCTCTTGATTGATGCAGTTCGCCCGCTGTGTGCTCACTCTCTTCTGTCATCCCCAGAACCCAAACAAATTCAATCACCCCAAAAAAATATCAAAAGAAAAACCCGTTATTATCTCTCTTCAGATATGATCTCTAATTCCTCTTATATAGGCGTTAATAAAATAGGAAAGAGATATTCTCGTGAGAGTCTCAATAGGAGATCAAATCAATCAACGAATGACTGAGATTAAATTTAAAAATTTGCCAAAACGCGTTATAACCATCAATGATGGATCACAATTATCAATGATCCATCGATGATCATCAATGATTGATTGTAGTCCATCGATTGTGCGAATTCTTGTTTCTAAATTTCTCTGATTGCTGACTGCAGACCATTGATGGTCCTTGCAATCACTGATGGTCGACTATAGACCATCAATGGTTCGATTTCTAGTTTTTATATTCTCCAGTTGTTTCCTGTAATCCATCGATGACTTGCTTGGCCATCGATGGTGTCACTTGACCATCAATGATTCAAAGGCTGAAATAAACATTCATGTTGATTTTTGCATCGTTTTGAACCACAAATTGTTCGTATATGTTTATACCTAAAATATATCATTCACAAACATATTAGTAGCAAATGAGAGCTTGTTATTAATCAAACAAGAGATATTGCACGAACAACATTCTGCACGAATTCGAACAACGTTCTAACACTAAGTGGTGTTAATTTGCATTAATGATCACATTATCCTCAATGACATGGCAAATAAAGGTCCATGTACTTTTGATTTAGAACACCTCTCTTAAACCCCATTAAAAATCAATCTGTGTTTGCTAAGTCTCTTCAAAATTGTTTCCAATCTACACAACATAATAAATTAAAGACTTTTGCGTCTGTAATAATTTTCTAAAACTATTGACAAATGATTGTCATTCTTTCTTAAAGCGAAATTCTGATGCGTTTGTGAACTTCTCAAGGGACAAACCCGCAGTCCCGGAGTTACTTAGACATAAGTTCATATCAGGTACATGTTCAGTGATAATCTTGATCTAAGTAACCTCTATGGCTTTGAGATATTTGCTATATGAACCTTTGCTGCGTAACAATCTTGAAGCAGATGCATCTACTGTTGTCAGCAAACATTTCTTGAAAAATAATGTAGTCAGATTCGTGCAAGATATCATGAATTTGACAATGACGATGGTTGACGGCTGCTTCGACACTGTTGAAGCTAGCGATCACCGTATGGACGTTATATTGATGAATTTATATGACAACATTGATCATGAGTATGTTGCGCACAGCAAAAATTTCGGCAGCACCTCGGCAGCACAACAAGAGAGTCAGGTCGCAATAGTAAATTATGTTTCACAAAGAAAACAATAACTTTAAGCAAAATATCTCAATCAAGTGAGATATCAGCTCTTCCTCTCATCAGTTCTAGGACTGACCTGTCGAGGGAACCTAAATAAGTTATTACAAATCACACAAATAGCGAGACAACCAATTTTACGTGGTTCGACAAATTACCTACGTCCATGGGACAAGGAGGGAGATTTACTATTAGAGGGAGAGAATACAACCAGGGTTTACAATCACACAACTTAAACCCTCAACTAAGCTCTCAAATCACTCACAGAAATATCTCTCTCAAAAGACACAAACACTTTTTCTCCCGCAGCGGTTTTTTTTCCCCTGTAGCCGCCAACAAAATTCGTGCTCAAAAACCCTTTGCACTGTTTTTTTCTCCGTAGCCGCAAAATTCTTTGCACCTGCCCACTTTTCACGTACAAAACCCTAGGCTATATATAAAGCTTGGAAATCTCGGGTGGGCCTTGCTTCTCTCCACGCGGAAAATGAAAAAAACGTGTTCGACTTTCTTCTCTTCACGCGGAACCGCGTCACGTGGTGCCCCCCCCAAAGTATCACGATGTTTTCCCTTTTGATATTTACGACAAAACAATAGTTTTTTTTTAAAGTTTTGTTGTGATCGATAATCGTTTTGAAAGTAGGGATGCCTTCTCATTTAGGAACCGGTTTCTGTGTAATTGAAATTGATTGGTAATTTATTATTATCTTATTTTTAATATTTTTGAATTAGGATAGTTTTGTCTTTTCAATTTTTATTAAACGAAACTTTTAACGAACAGTTGAAAAAAAGATTAAATTTATATATGAGATGGGGTAAAGAATTAAGTTAGAGAAAAACAATGTGGGGACCAATATGAAGTCTAACTACACGGACCAAATTTGCCTTCTAGCCATTTCTAGCCGGATCCATGAAAACAAACAATCTATAACAAGAGGGTTTACAAATCCGCCCATCCTTTATTATGATCATAAAAGTGATTGAAGAAGGATATCAAACTAAAAGATATGGGACATAAGCTTTTATCGTTTTTTTATAGATTCAAAAAAAATTAAAAATAAAATTTAAAAAAGAAGGATCTTCCAAGAATGATTTAATAAAGATGGCCATAGTCATGATCATACTATTAGACAATAAACATTCGTATTAAGATAACATTAGAATTTCAAAAAAATATTTCTTATAAATATCAGAGTTCTAAAAAGGCTACAAAGGAGAAACAAAATTAGTTGTGCTCTAGTGGCACTCCTAGTCTGGGATTCCTCAAAACAAATATGGGGCAGAAAATAACAGAGTTCATATTCTATAAGAATCTTTCACATGCGAAAGGATTGTTCTCTACCTTTCTAAGGATAAGTAAGGGGTAGAATAATAATTCACCGACCACTTCTCTATAGTCGTGTGCTGGCTCTCCCGACCACTTCTCTATAGGGGTCTTCCCCTCAATCGCAAATGAAGGTAGACTATTAATGATGTGGCTCGCATATGTAAGTGCCTCAGCCCAAAAAATCTTCTCCAAACCACTTTGCGATAATAAACATCGGATATTCTCTAGTAAAGACCGATTTAACCTCTCTGCCACCCCATTCTACTGCGGTGTATGACTAACCGTGAAGTATCTCTCTATGCTCTCATCTCGACATAGCTGCTGAAAGGGGTCTGAAGTATATTCACCACCGTTATCGGATCGTAACGTCTTGATCTTTCTCTTAATCTGCAGTTCCAATCTTTTCTTCCACTCCACAAATAAATGTAGGACGACGTCATTCTTATACTTCATGGTGTATACCCAACATCGCCTAGAATAGTCATCAACGAACGTGACGAACCAATGTCGATCACAAAGTGATACCGTCTTGGTGGGACCCCAAACATCTGTGTGCACATAGTCCAGGATGCCCCTCGTCCTATGAATAGCAGTCCCGAACTTCACCTTCATTTTCTTACCAAGAACACAGTACTCACAGAAATCCACTTTTCTACATTTGGTTCCTTTCAGTAGTCTCTGCTTGCACAGCGCCTGCAGTGACTTCTCACCTGTGTGCCCCAACCTATAATGCCAAAGTCTGCTCATATCCGCCTCTGAAATAACTGAAGCAACCTGGCCAATCTTGGTGCTCCCCTTCAGATAATATAAGTTCTGACTGTGGACTCCCTTTATCATCACTAAAGATCCATTAGTAATATTTGTTACAGCATCCTCAAAGGTCACCTTGAATCTCTTTGTCTCCAAAGCTCCAACTGAGATAAGATTCTTCTTCAGCTGAGTAATAAATCTCACCTCCTTTAATTCACAGACTACTCCATCGTGCATCCGAATCTGCACGATACCTATCCCACAAATACCACAGGATTGATCATTTCCTATGACTACAATTCCCCCATCGAGCTTCTCAAAAGATACAAACCAATCTCGCCTAGGGGTCACATGATAGGTAGCACCAGAATCAAGCATCCAATCTGATGCATCTAAGTGGTTCACCTTCGGAGTTATAAGTAGAGAAAAGCTTGAATCATCAGAATCATCGCCTTTCACAATATTCACCTCATTAGCCTTCGAGCCCTTTTTCTTGCTATTCTCCTTCTCTTTGATCTTTGGACAACATCTTTTTCAATGTCTCTACTCCTTGCAGAATGTACATTGGTTCTTTCCTAGATGGTGACGACCTCTTGACTTTGACCTTCCTCTATTACCACCTTTCGAATATGGGCTTCTACCTCTCGTCGACAAGACCTCACCTGAAGTACTAGCACGGAAAGTCTTCTTATCCTTCCTCCTCAAATCATAATTCGTCAATGCATTAGTAACTTCACTATAGCTGATAAAAGATCTCTTGTTCAACAAAGTGAGCACAAATGTGTCATACTCCTCATCCGGTAAGGAGCCCAATAAGATAATAGCCTTGTGAGCACAAATGTGTCATACTCCTCATCCGGTAAGGAGCCCAATAAGATAATAGCCTTGTACTCATCCGATATCTTCAGGAGCCCAATAAGATAATAGCCTTGTACTCATCCGATATCTTCTCATCAACATTCGCCAAGTCCGATAACAACCTCGTATAGTTGTTCACATGAGCCACAAGCGAGATGCCTCTGGACATCTGGAATCTGAATAACCTATGCAGCAAATGCAACCTGTTCTCAACATTCTTCGTAAGCTACTTATTGTTGAGAATTTTCTATATCTTTATCACAGACGTCATCTCAATCACATCATACTTCAACTCCTGTCCCAAACAGGACATGATCACCCCACAAGCGTTCCTATTCATCTTTTCCCATATCGCCTCTTCATATTTTAGTGGTCTCTCGTAGACCATGATGGTCTCCTCCAAGTTCTGAGCATTGAGCGCATCATGTACATCGCTCATCCACAAACCAAAGTTAATTTTACCGTCATACTTCACCACACTAATTTTAGTGTTCTGAAAACCAACTTGAACTGTACTCGCCATCGACTTACTGCTTTCACCTTCTGCTCCCATTGCAAACTAATTCCAAGTTATAGGGGGAAAAATCAAACTTTGATAGAAATTAATAATTACCTAACTGAACCCTAGATCGGATTCCAAATAGATCTTCTGTCCACACGAGGAAAGTGAAATCTCCAACGGCAACTCCTAATACTATCTCCACCGAAGCCTAGAACTCCAAGAACTAAACTTCACACAAGAATCTTCCTTCACCTAATTCCAAAATCCTAGATATGAAATATGGGCTCTGATACCACTTTTGTTGCGCGCAGTGAAAATTTTGATAGCACCTCGGTAGCATAACAAGAGAATCAGGTCGCAATAGAAAATCTTTTTTCACAAAGAAAATAAGAACCTTAAGCAAAATATCTCAACCAAGTGAGATACCAGCTCTTCCTCTCATTAGTTCTAGGACTGACCTATTGAGGGAACTTAAATAAGCTATTACAAATCACACAAATAGCGAGACAACCAATTTTACGTAATTCGGCAAATTACCTACGTCCACGGGGAAAGGAGGGGGGAGATCTACTATTAGAGGAAGAGAATACAACTAGGGTTTACAATCACATAACTTAAACCCTCAACCAAGCTCTCAAATTGCTCACACAAATATCTCTCTCAAAAGTCACAAAAACTTTTTCTCCCGCAGTGGTTTTTTTCCCCTGTAGCTGCCAACAAAATTCATGCTCAAAAACCCTTTGCACTGTTTTTTTCTCTGTAGCCACAAAATTCTTTGCACCTGCCCACTTTTCACGCTCAAAACCCTAGGCTATATATAAAGCTTGGAAATCTCGGGTGGGCCTTGCTTCTCTTCACGCGAAAAATAAAAAAAAACGCATTCGGCTTTCTTGTCAGATGATATATATTTTGTAGATATATATTTATATTCACGTACACCACCTGACAGAACAAAATATGCCAATCAGTCATATTGGGAACAGTTTCCCGATTACCTACTGAATATTTTCTAGAATTGATAACCTAAAAATGCATTAAATCAGTCAAGCCACAATTGCATGAATGATTTAAAGGAACAATAGAAATGTCATTATTCCTCTGTCCAGTCAGCACCTTAAAGAAAAATATATTAGTAACTAGCGAGTAGCGACTTAGTGCATTCTTGTTATCATGCATAAGAACACAATTAGGTACCCCTAACACTAACAAACTATTTACAAAAGCCAATAAATAAAAATATGTTCAATCTCGAAGAAACAAATGCTTTAAGAGTGAACACGACAAGAATAAGTAACCTGATTAGTCCAACCATCGAAAGACCCAGCCAAAAGAACTTCTGAAGCAGATGTAGACCAGACTATGCACGTAGATCGAAGAATATGCAAAGCTTTTACAGAAGCATCAAGCTTCTTCTTTGCCATGTCCGTGTTCTCCGCTTTACTACCGAACGAAACAAATAAAAGGGAAAAAGAATCAGGAAAATAATGTTAAGATGTGAGTGCAATAAGATTCAAAATTTGAAAATTAAGCGTATACATTATTGCATGTGTCTTCTTGCCTCGTTGTATAGCCAATTTAGCCCGTATAGACCGCAGTTTATTTTTCACATTCATTATTTCTGTCTGCATGAATTCCAACTTATCAGAAAGCATATACTGCTCTCCCAGTGAGTTTCGTTGGACCTGGATGATCAATCATTAAAAAAGAAAGAAGCTTCTTGGAAGTACTAAATCCATTTGATACAAAAAAATGGTGGTAGAGTAATGCAATACAACACATCTCATGAGGGAGTTATAGGAAAATAAAATATACCAAAACCATTATTACGCAATTAGAATAGAAACCCTAATCTTATTCATGAGATAACATGGGCTTATATAGGCCCCTACAACTTACACATAAACCCCTAAACTTAATAATATTTCAACACTCCTCCTCAAGATGGGCGAAAGATATCCACTAAGCCCATCTTGTCACATCCTCTAATCATGTCTAATGAGCTAAGTCCTTTAGTCAGACAATCTGCAGCCTGATCCTTAGTTGGAACATGACTTAACTCCAGTAGTCCATTGTCCAACTTCTCTTTGATGAAGAACCTATCGATTTTGATGTGTTTGGTTCTATCATGCTGCACTGGGTTGTTGGCGATACTGATGGCTGACTTGTTATCACACCACAGCTTCATTTTGGCTCCTTTATCTAGCTTCAGCTCCACCAGCATACTCTTCAACCATAACAACTCTGCAACCCCCAAGGTCATGGCTCTATACTCTACTTTAGTTGTTGATCTCGCCACCACTGATTACTTCTTGCTCTTCCACGAGACCAAGTTACCTCCTATGAAGATGCAGTACCCTGAGGTGGACCTCCTGTCATCAGCACAGCTAGCCCAATCCGAGTCACAGTAACCCTCAATACTCATATGTTTATTTTTCCTTAATATCAACTCTTTTCCGGGGGCACTCTTCAAATACCTCAGAATCTGGTATACTGCGTCCATATGACCTTTCCTTGGATCGTGCATGTAGTGACTCACCACGCTCATTGCAAAAGAGATATCAGGACGTGTGTGACTCAGATAGATCAACCTGCCCACCAGCCTTTGGTATCTGTCACGATCAACTGGTTCTCCAGCTTCAGCACCCAGCTTGAACTTCTGGTCAATCGGTGTAGTTGCAAGTTTGCACCCTAACATCCCTGTCTCTTTGAGAAGATCCAGTGCATACTTTCTTTGGGAGAGAATAATCCCCTCAGCTCCTCGAGATATCTCTATCCCAAGAAAATATCGAAGCAAGCCAAGATCTTTTACCTCGAATTCCTTATCCAGTCTCTCTTTGAGTTGAGCAATCTCCTTCTCGTCATCTCCTGTAATAATCATATCATCCACATATATCGCCAGCATGGTAATGTGGCCTCCACTTCGTCGAAAGAACATGGTATGGTCGGCGTTGATCTGCTGGTACCCCATACCAATCATAACCCTCTTGAATCTGTCAAACCAAGCACGAGGAGACTGCTTCAGCTCATAGAGAGACTTCTTCAATCTGCAGACCTTACCTACTGTCTGATCTGTATCGAATCCTGGTGGTATCTCCATGTATACCTCCTCCACTAGATCTTCATGAAGAAATGCATTCTTCACATCTAGTTGGTGTAGCTTCCATCCACCATTTACTGCCAGAGAGATTATGCATTCTTCACATCTAGTTGGTGTAGCTTCCATCCACCATTTACTGCCAGAGAGATTAAGGTCCAAACAATGCTCATCTTTGCCACAGGTGCAAAAGTCTCATCATAATCGATGCCATATGTCTGACTATACCCTTTTGCCACCAGACGAGCCTTGTAGCGTTCAACTTGCCCATCTGGATTCTGCTTCACAGTGAAGACCCACTTGCATCCAACTGCTCTCTTCTCTTCTGGTAGTTTTACTAGCTCCCAAGTGCGGTTCTTCTCAAGAGCCCCTAGCTCCTCGTGCATAGCCGCTTTCTATTTTGGGTCCTTCTTAGCAACCTGCCAATTGTTAGGTACAGTAACAGAGTCCAATGATGCAATGAATGCCCCCATGTGCAGGGTGGATGTTAGAATATGATACAAACTGGGCAAGATCCCAACCATATCTATCGGGAGGATTTCCCGCATTACTACGAGTAGTCCTCCGTACTGGTATTGGTGTGGGAGGAGTAGGGAGAGGAATGTTATCACCTTGGGAAGGGGATGGTGGTGGTGTAGGTGTCTCAGGAGTCGGGACAGGTGTTGGCAAGAGACTTGGCAGCACTAGTGGTACTGTAGGTACTGTTCCTGCAATTTGCTTCCCCTTCCTACTATAGGTTAGTAGCTCCCCCTGAACCGTGGGCCTAACACCTCTTGTCTCATTTTTCTTTTCTTCTTCATTCTCCTGCTCCTCCTCAACCAATTCTCCCTCCTAAGGAATCGATACAGAAATCGATTTCTCCACATCATTGTTCACCGATCTATCACCATTCTCCTCCTCTCGCCTCATTCTTCTAGTATTGGGAGAGTTACCAACAGATGAATTTACCTTCCGGGTGTAATATGGCTCGAGTTCTCGAAAGTGCACATCCATGCTCACAAACAACCTTTTCTCCACCGGGCTCCAGCAAACATATCCCTTCTGAGTAGCAGAGTATCCCACAAAGATGTACTTCACAGCTCTAGGGGCAAGTTTCCCGACAGATGGCCTGTTATCCTTCACAAAGCACACACAGCCAAACACTTTAAGTGGGAGAATCCTACCATTATCTCCCTTCAACATCTCACACGGAGACTTCCAATCCAGCACTTTCGAGGGTATTCTGTTGATCAGCGCTGCTGCTGTAAATACTGCCTGCCCCCATAATGTTTCTGGGACATTCATAGAGATCATCATGCTTTTAGCAACCTCTAAAAGATGTCTGTTCTTTCTTTCCACTACCCCATTCTGAGCTGGTGTGTATGGACATGTTGTCTGGTGCTGTATTCCCTGAGTTAACAAGTATTCTTCAAGCGCTCTGTTGGTATACTCTGTCCCATTATCCGACCTCAATACCTTCACCACTGCTCCGTATTGAGTTTGAACATTCCTATGAAAGTTTTGGAAGCACCCAAACACTTCACTCTTATTCTTCATTAGGTATAACCAAGTAACACGAGAGAAACAATCACTAAATGTAATAAAATACTTGTATCCATTCATAGAACTTGTGGAACAAGGCCCCCAAACATCTGAATATACCAAGTCAAATGCATGAGAACTTCTATGACCAGAACTAACATAAGAGCTTCTAGTAAGCTTTCCAACTCACATGCATCACACACAAGTTTCTGTTTATTTACTTTCTCAAATAAATAAGGATACAATCTGCCTAAAACGCTAAAGGATGAGTGTCCCAAACGCTGGTGATGAAGCATTAACTCACTCTCAGCACTCATTTTAGATCCTATTCCTACTTTCTCTATGACTGACACCAACGCTGAATCCAGCCCTTCACGATCCAGATACCATAGTCCACTACGTCATGTGCCAGTCCCAAGTCTCCGCCCTGTCCCCTTCTCCTGGAAAATTACCTTGGGAATATCAAAAGAGACAATGCATTTTAGTTGGAGAATGATAGAACTAATGGACAAAAGATTGACTGGAAAGGAAGGAGCATACAAAACATTAGACAAAGTTACAGAACCAGTACAATCGACTGTACCCTTACCAACCACCGGCTGAAATGTACCATCAGCTGTTTGAATACTATCAGGCGATGCTAGGTGAGTATATGATGAGAACTCACTAGCATTACCTGTCACATGTCGAGACGCACCGGAGTCAACTATCCATTCTGATGATCTATCGGGAGATATAGAAGCAAGAGCATGTATGTCATCAGTACCTTTGATCGGATGAGCATAGGTAGCAGTGTTGCCTCTGGCGAAGAACGAGGTGGATGCCTCCTCTGTCCCACTCCTCAAGTCTCCATCCCCTGCTACTTTCTGCTTCCTCCTAAGTATCGCCAGAAGAGCACGATCCTCCTCAGTAAAGACCACCTTAGCTTCTTCTTCTTCCTCTGCTACCATCAAATTCGCCAGGTTGCCTGCTCCTCTTCCACCTCGTCGACCCCCACAGTCACGACCACGACCTCCGAACTGTCCATGTCCACCCGAATCTCCTTCCTTGGGTGGCTTGGTGCAAGCATGCCGTAGATGACCCACCGCACCGCAGTTGTAGCACTGCCGAGTCTCTCCCCTGGATCTAGTGTTGCTAGAGGCTGGCAGTGCTCCTGTCCCCGCCTGCAGCCTAATGTGAGTCTCCTCCTGAATCATAGCAGAGACAGCCTCCTCAAGCGTGGGAATCTTCGGATGAGCTAGCAGCAATGCAATTCGCTGAGCGAACTCTGATATCAACCCCTTGAGAAACACCATAGTCCTCTCCTATAGAAAGGCCTCCCGCTCTTTACATCCCGGGTCCTTGCAGCTCGCCCATGGTGAGAAGTGATCATAATCTAGCCACAGACGCTCCAGCTCTGTGGCATACTCCTGTACAGTCCTCTCTCCCTGTACTGTGGCTTCGATCTCTCCCTTAATATGGAACACCCTCAGGTTATTCCCCACTCCATCATAGGTCCTCCTCAACTTTTCCCAGACGTCCTTCACCTTCTCAATGCCATCCACTGTGATGACGATCGACTGGACCAACGAGTTGAGGAGCCAGATGTACACCAACATATGAGTGGACTTCCACTCATCTCTTCCCTCCTAGTCCTCATCCGGCTCTGTTGCCTCTCCTGTCAAGTAACCCTCCAGGTTCCTCCCTGCAAGGGTGTATCTCACCCGTCGTGACCAGCTCAGGTACGTACTCGGTCCATCAAGCTTTAAATCGATGGTCGGAAGCTCCAACTTCTTCGATGATTTTGTCGCGCTCTCACCAGCCGACAACTTCATCAGCTTCATCAAAGTTGACACCTCCGCAGGGTTCAACTTCTTGATGATCTCCTCCATCGAACAGGCTTCAGACCCAACACCTGGTCACCTATTCTTCCGACCCTTGTTGTGTGCAGTGAAAATTTCGGCAGCACCTCTGCTGCACAACAAGAGTAGGATCGCAAACAAATTCTCGTTTCTCAGAGGAAACAAGAACCAAAAACAGTTATATATCTCATCGATGTGAGATATATACTCTTCCTGTCATCAGTTTGAGGACTGAATCGAGGGAACCCATGCCAAACTCTAGGTTCGGCATAGCGCAGCAAGGGGGGGTCAAAGAGTGGGGGGGGGGGGGGGGTTCGGTAGCAGCGAGGGGGCTGAATCAAGGGGTCGGGTTTGATGCGGGGGGGGGGGGGGGGGGCTGATCGGGGGAGAGGGGTTGGGTCTGGTTGTCAATACAGAGGGGCGGGGGGGGTCCTGGTTGTGCGAAACATAGGGGGGGGTCGGGCGAGCTTGGAGGCGAACAGAGGGCACGGGGGGCTGGGTCGGGTTGATCGGGGGGGGGGGGGGCTGATCGGGGAAGAGGGGGGTTGTTTCAAAGGTGGTGGTGGGGGGTGTCGGGTGAGGGGGAGGGCAGACGGGTGAGGGAGGAGGGGAGGTGGGAGGGGGGGCTAGGGTTTTTGGTGGAGGCTCTGATACCAAATTGAATATGAAAACCCTAATGTTATTACTCCATAAGATGGGCTTATATAGGCCCTTACAACACAACTTACACATAACACCCTATCTATTACTAATATGTCAACAATATCACTAAAACTTGAAATGTTTGAATACTAGTTTTCTGGGTAAATTTCGCAAAATACCCTTAAGTTTGGTCGTTTCTCAGATAATTTTCCGCAAATAATATTATTCACTCTCTTGAAAAGATCAATTTAAACAACTTCAATTGCACACCAAATCTAAACAAAAAACCATGGGGGCAGATATCAAACAGAGTTCAATTGCATATTGGACATCTCTCAAAAAGCTTGATATTATAATAGTAAGTAGATGGAGATGTATTAAGCACGCAAATGAGAAGAGGAGCACTAGCCGACGCACACTGACAACCCTCAAAATTATATGACTCATATTAACCAATAACAATACTCTGTTAATTATTTGATCGTATTCATATGTATCCATCTCACAGTTCAATTCCCAGCCGTCCAATTGGGCTTCGCTGGCCTCACCTTCATTTGTTGTTTATTTAGATTATCATTAGCTTAAATGGTGGTTAATTACCTCAACAAAACTCCTAATAGTTGCTTGATGGTTGGATTTTTCTATTATAGTGCACATAAAGCCTGCTTTTGTGTTGCTATATAAGTTGTTTCTTGTGGTCATCGGCAATGAGATAGGTTAAGGGGTCGATGTTTCTTACAAGCTAGGCGAAACCAAAAATAGTTCCCTATAACCCCCAACAAGCTCAGCAACATAAGGCATTGCTCTTTATCTCTTCAAATATCACCATGAGAGCTTTTGTCATCCTTCCCCTTTTAGTGTTACAATTCTTTGCGCAAACGATGACTGTTCGTGCAAATGTTGGCGCTGCAATTCCTTATGGTCCTCCATATACTCGTAAGTCTTAATTATTGTCGCGTTATATAGCGTTCTTTAATGATATTATAATTCAATTGCGGATACACTCCGTGTATTTATATTGTTGCAGATGGACCTCCTAAGTGAAAATTTTCACTTTTGTGCCCTTAGAGGGTCTATCTGCAAAGAGTCAAAAAATTTCGCTCAAGCAGTCTATGTGCAACAATAAAACTACAGGGATAGTACATGAGTCTACCTGCAATTAACTCATAACATTATAATTAAACGTTATCACAACTGCATAAAATATGAAGTACAAAGAAGAATCAGAATACATGAGTGATATGTAGACCTGCTGTGAACCTCGTTAAACCTGTATGCATATGATTGTCATCGTAAATACATATCAAATGCTGAATATGTTAGTTTTCACTGTCCGATTACAGCAACAAAATGCAATGGGAACAGCCAAGACCAATTCCCACCAGGCAACATGTTTGCTGCAGTATCCCTAAGCCTATGGGATAACGGCGCAGCCTGTGGAAGAAAGTATCGTGTCACGTGCTTGAGCGGATCCAGTAGGCCGTGCAAATCAGGCACCATTGATGTTCAGGTCGTTGATCTGTGCCGTGACAATCCTTGCCCTGCGAGTCTTCTCTTGTCAAGGAATGCTTTTAGCGTGATTTCAAGCAATTCCAATGAGAGGATCAATGTCGAGTATATTGAGTAAGTAATGTGTTTTTGTTGCAGAATGTAGTGTTTTCAAGAAAACACGTTGGGTATCTGATAATATATATCAGATATATCAGCTTCTGGATATCTGACGGCTAAAGTTTTATTCCTGCAGGATTTGATGCAGCCTCTGCAAGAATTTGTCAGGTTGACGAAGAAGGATGTACGTTGCAAAGTGATTGATTGCTGGCATTGTATTATAAGCCTAATGTAACTCACTGAATTGGTCAGAAGCAAGATCACGTTAGAAATAAATGCTCTCGACTCTAATAAGTACGAGGTTATTACGCACCTCATGATGTACACCTTGTATCAGGATTACATACATAAATTGAATACAGAAACTACTGAGTTCACTGTTCACATCTTAAGTGCCTGAAAGCAAGCGTGGTCATTGTTTTCTCGTTTATCATCATATATTTAAAACTGTCGATTTTTCATCAGTCTATGGTTTTCTGTCTACTTTGTTGGGCAAAACCCGTGTCGAGGAACCAAACCAAACGCAGATCAAAGAGGGTCAAAACCAACCAAAATCAATGCACAAACAAAACATCAATTTTAACGTGGTTCGGCAATTGCCTACGTCCACGGGGCAAGAAGGGGATGATGTTTTCACTAATAGAGAAGAAGAGTACAACTTGAGATTACAAATCACTCGAAGGAACAAACTAATCTCACCAACAAAGCTCTTAATCTCTCCAAATAAACCCTAATCAAATAGCTCAGAAAATACCTCTTTTCTATGCTCCAAATATCCCAAACTCTTGCCTTAAGAAACCCTAGAACGTATATTGGTATTTATACAAACACCAAAATCCAAATCAGAACAGGAAACTCAAACTAGGCCTGACTCGATACGCGGTCGACCGCCACGGTCGATCGCGCCCAACGACAGAGCCTATAAATGCGTTACAGGGTCTGGCGGTCGACTACGACAAACGACAGAGCCTAAAAATCTCCTACAGGGTCGCGGTCGACCGCACCAAGTCCAGGCTCATGCCTGAGCCCGTGCACGTTCGCGGTCGACCGGCCTTGCGTCGCGGTCGACCGTGCAGCTCCAAAACAGTTCCAAGTGTCCCAAAAGTCTGTTCTTCTCCAAAATTCTTCGCGGTTTCTTCATACTTCGGCTACGAATACTGTGATATTTAATTACTTGAACCGTAGGATAAGAAGATACATGGTAATTTCACAAAATCACCAACAAGTTTGGCCCATTTTGAGATAAGCCCTAGAAAGTTTGAAATGCTACTTAACCTCCAAAAATTTTTCACACAAGGCATATGGCTTCATCACCGCAAAACTTAGTTGTTAGACCCTCATAGAGCATATAACTAAGGTTGAAGTGAGCATAAATCTTTGTAGTGATGATCAGGACTCCATCATCATATTGACCATACATGCATATCAACCCATCTATGAAACGATAAGCCACCAACCCAATTGCAGTTTTCAATGGAACATTAATATTTTGTTAATCAGCACATCCCTCTTCTGATCCCTCTCTTAACACAAGTCTAACTCTCATTAACCTATACTTAATGATAAGCTGACCTTGCTGTCCTCCACTGGCTCCTATTATTAATTAAAAAAATGGAGAAATAAATGTTTATAGTTTATGGAATATATAACATGTGCGTGTTGATATGTATGAAAAAACTTGCCAGCATCATCCTACGGATATGATATTTTTTTGGAAGTAAATATTGATACGAGTCCACAAAATTTTGAACTGGCTATGCAAGAACTAAAAATATATACGTTTTTTATGGTTAATTATCTTATGAGATGTTTCTCCAATATAAAACAATGTCATGACTTAAATCTCATGATTAAAGAGGCTGATATAATGCCATGGCGAATAAAGCTCGACTGAGACAAGCTGAATAAGATATTAAAGAGATCAACGCAATATGATAAGTTCAAAGTATAAGTTGCACGATTCAGTGTGAGGGAATGAAGTGAGGAGTTGACATAAAAGAGCAGAAATGAGATACGAGATCAGCTGGCAAGATGATGAAGAATCCACTATAACGTATCAAAGTGCTTATTGCTTACGCTATTGGAGCCTACATAGGATAAATAATAAGTAAAGTGTTAAAGGAAAAACACAATTAGTGTGCCTTCGTCAAAGTAATTGATAAAGGGTAATTTAACTCTTCATGTATTTATGAAACCCTATATTTGACACTCTATATAAAAGGGGTTCCTGATGAAATAAAGTGTGACCAATTCTATTCTTCTTTTAATACGTTATTGTAGGCGTCTAAAATTGCCTACGGGCCCTCACACGTAGCTCGAGCCACAGAGAAGATGATGAACGTTACTATCCGAGTCACAGAAGCTTAATCGACATTGACAAGCGCATGAAGTGAGTCAACAAACCAGGCGAAGCAACGGAACTTCGGAATAACGGAAACACGAACTGATCGGGAGCTCTGCGTCACTTAGGAAAGACGAAACACCTCCCGTGTCCCGTCCACCCCACAAATTATTCAATTATGGGAGCTTGTATATCTTCTCAACGACTTTCCGATGCATCTTGAATAGCACGATTCCGAGTTCGGATGATGAAGTTACGGAGAAAACGGACAGAACGCGCGGAACAGTGCTCCAGGCCTAAGCGAGACACCCATAGGTGTCTCGGACTTTGTAGAGCTGTTTTGACTATGATTTGTTTTGAATCTGAAGAAGCTCAAAATATGAAAGTTGTAGAACTCCTTGTTAGCTTTCTAACGCATCTTGGATTAACTCATTCCGAGATCGTTTACTAGAGATAAAGCCAAAATACCAACTGCCTTAGAATTCTGAGACAGTGTTGGTGTCTCGGAGAAGAATAGAGATTTTGGCCATAATTCGATTCGAATATGAAAAATCTCAAAAGACAAAAGTTGTATATAAATTCGTCATCTTTTCAACGCATTGAATCATATTATTTAGAGGTCATATGAGAAAGTTAAAGTCAAAATACCCAAGACACTCACTGGTGTCTTGGCCAGGCCGAGACACCCAGAGGTGCCTCGGCCAAACCGAGACACCCACTGGTGTCTCTCTCGGCCAGGCCGAGACACCCACGGGTGTCCGCAGCCCCGAAAATCGATTTTTAGCAGTTTTAAGCTATTTTTCGATGTTAACCACCTGGATTTGTTCCAACTGATCTGAATCTATCCAAGAACATGGTTAAGTGGTTACAACTGAAGATAAGAGTGAATCGATCCTTCTTATCTAAAAACAGAATTCCCAAAGCCTATAAATATAGCCCCAGGGCCTTTTATTTTTCAGATCTAGAATTCTTGAGTGTTGGCAAAGCCCTGACGAACTGAGGACTAAAGAGCCACGAATTTCAGAGAAGAGGAGGAGATATCAGCTAATTCTTCAGCATAAAGAAGAGGAGTTCGTCAGATCTGTAGTCCGGTTCCTTCCCTTGAGATTGTCCCATTGCGGTGATCTCGAGAAGAGTGATTATCTCGCTGTTGCCGAGATAATTACTTCGGTTTCTTGATTTCTTCGCGAATCAAAGAAGCTCCGGATCTGATTTGATCGTTTAGTGGTCCACGGATATCAACGTCCTCGTCACAGGCAAAGATCCCACGCAAGCAGCGGGCAATAAACACCCGTTACGTCAGCCTGAGTAGGGATAAGTCAGTGTCTAACACGCGTTGCCGGTTAGTTCTTCACCGTAAAAAGAACAAAAGTCACATATTCGACATTATGGCAGGTTATTATTAATAACACCGTAATTCGTGCCTTACACGCGTGGGGAATTTTATCCCGAATCCTAAGTAGGGATAAGCCAATGCCTAACACGCGTTGTCAGTTTAGTCTTTCACCGATTGAAGAAGACACCAGAATCCAAATCTAGGGAATTTTATCCTGAAGCCTAAGTAGGGATAAGTCAACGCCTAACACGCATTGTCGGTTAGCCTTTGACCGTAAAAAAAATAAAAACCCACATATTCGACATTGTGACAGGTTGTTATTAATAACACCATAATCCGTACCTTACATGCATTGGGAACTTTATCTCGACTCCTAAATAGAGATAAGTCAACGTCTAACACGCGTTGCCGGTTTAGTCTTTCACCGAGTAGAAAAGACAACAGAATTCGAGTCTGGGGACTTTTATCCCGAATCCTAAGAATGGATAAGTCAACGCCTAACACGCATTGCCGGGTAGTCTATTCCCGTGAGAAAGACGAAATCTACGTATTCAATATCATAGCACTAAAAAGAGTTAACTCTTTTAGCACAACGTTATATGTGGAACGGACTTAAACAATCCGCATGTAAGCCTGATTCAAACAGTAATCGGTAAAGGTACGTCAAATCCGTTGATGGCTGAGGATTTGCCAAAAATCATGAGTCTGCATCTGATACATGCGGCCGGGTAGTCTATTCCCCTGAGAAAGACGAAGTCTACGTATTCAATATCGTAGCACTAAAAGAGTTAACTCTTTTAGCACAACGTTACATGCGGAACGGACTTAAACAATTCGCATGCTAGCCCAACTCAAACGGTAGTCGGTAAAGGCTCATCAAACCCGTTGATGGCTGAGGGTTTGCTAAAATTCCTATGAATGTGAGAGTCATTAACACATCAGCCTCATTAGTTGGTCTCGCGACTCAAGCATCCAACAACATTGGGATAAGATTCATATCTACAGACGAATCAGCTTTAACAGTTGGTCCTGCAGTCCCAACTGTTGGAACCGCAATGCTCCAATACTTTAAGAGCTTAAACTATGTATACTTCAACAAACGTACGAGTATAAACTACGTTAACGGCGAACGATCCGAAATCCTAGGTCAACGCTAGTCAACGCGTAACCCTAGATCAACGCCAGTCAACGCGTTACGATGAAAAGTCAACACCGGGTGATCCGAAACCCTAAGTTAACGTCGGTCAACATGTAACCCTAGGTCAACACTAGTCAACGCGTTGCAATGAAAAGTCAACACCGAGCGATCCGAAACCCTAGGTCAACGTCGATCAACGCATAACCCTAGGTCAACGCTAGCCAACGCGTTGCATTAAAAAGTCAACGCCGGGCGACGCGTAACCCTAGGTCAACGTCAGTCAACACGTTGCATTAAAAAGCCAACACCGGGCGATCCGAAACTCTAGGTCAACGCCGGTCAACGCGTAAACCTAGGTCAATACAGGTCAACGCGTAAACCTAGGTCAATACAGGTCAACGCGTTGTGACGAAAAGTCAACGTCGGGCGATCCAAAACAACATCGTTCAACGCGTAGCCCTAAGCCAATATATTATGGCAGAGGTAGTCGGTTCAAAGTCAACTCGACAGCACGAGCCAAAATCAACTCACCAGTTTTGATTCAAGACTTTAACAACGGCCAGACGATA